AAGTCTTCAAATTTAGTCACGTATTCAGCCACAGAATTCTCTCCTTGTTTCAATTCAAGGAATTCCACCTGTTTCTTATGTCTCACATCTCGGGGAAAATATTTCTCCAAGAACAGCCGCTTGAAGTTATCCCAGTTTACTTGAGTTCCCGCAGCCATCATTCTTTGCAAAGCACCTTGCCACCAGATGCCAGCCTCTCCAGAAAGCATAAAAACGGCCAAAGTTACCTTCTGTATCAAAGGACATCCCATAGCTTGGAATATCTTTTCAATTTCAAAAATCTAATCAGCAGCTCCATCAGAATTATAGCCTCTACGAAAGCTTGGCGGATTATTTCGCTGAAATCTCTCTAGCCAATCTATCTCTGGTCGTTGGTTTAGATTACCAATAGCTTGAGCCATCGCTTGCAGAGCATCAGCGATTGCGCGATCGTTTCTACCTCCTGCCATTGGATGGAATTGTAACTCGACATTTTCGGTTTCATCAAAAGGGACAAGAAACTAGTACGAACAGTATTGCTTCCATATTTGCGTGGACATGAGGACTGCAACATAGGTAGGTTGTTTCTTTTTTCCTCTCTATCAACGAAAACAACAATGGAATATTTGCAGGACGCTGGGCACGTAATGGAGGTTTAAAGCAGCGCAGAACTCGGTGTTGGTGGTAGTGGCAGTGGTATTTGGAATTTGAGGATTGAGTGGGGGCTTGGAAAATGGCTGCTAGGAGTGAACACCACCAAACTGTTCCCCTTTCGGTGCTCCTGAAGCGTGAATTGGCGAATGAGAAAATTGAGAAACCTGAGATTTCTCATGGTCAAGTTTGCCAGAGCAAGAAAGCGGAGGATTTGACACTGCTCAAGATGGAATGTCAGAGGGTGGTCGGTGATTGAGTTCTACATATTCTGTATTTGGGGTAAGTTTCTCACGGGCTTCTTTTCCAGATTGAATAACATCGTTTTTTTTTATAGGATTTGATGGGTTGCAACTTGTCAACTGATTTTAATCTAGATGTATTTTACATGTTATCATTCTATAGGTCGAGACATAGTAAACAAGAGAATATAAAGGATTAAGCATTTTCCTTGGCACTTAACTATCTTATTGCAAAATTAGCAAATGCTAAATCTTGTGGAGTGTCTACTTTTCACATATTTACTTAGAATCCAATGTGTTGGTTTTATATTTGATGTTCTTGACTTCATGGCTGAGTTAGACTGGAAAAACTTTATCAAGTTACATATTACTGACTTTATTGCTCTGTTCATGTGAACAAACTAATATATTGTCAAGGTGTTTTTGCCACAATTTTGGTTTTATTATGGTTTTGTTCTTATGCACTCATTTTAATTGGAGCAGAGGAAGGACTATAGCCATTTATGCACTGAATGCTTATTGCTCAATGCACTATTTTTCATTTCTTTTTTTTTTCCTGGTTGCAATTTCTGATTCAGAAGTTTTACAGCTATTTGATGGACACAATAGATCTGCTACTGCTATTTATGCCAAGGAGAATCTTCTAAATAATGTTTTAAGTGCAATTCCTTCAAATCTGAACAGAGATGAGTGGATAGCAGCATTGCCCAGGGCTTTGGTTGCTGGCTTTGTAAAAACTGATAAAGATTTTCAAGAGAAAGGTACTGATAGTTCATTCCTTGCAGAGTTTGATATGAAAGGAATAACTATTTTGTGTAGCTTTTAGATGCTAGACCAAGATGTCTAGTACCCTATTCTAAAAATTATGGAATTCCTTATAGGTCAAATATAGTGGAAATCATTACACATGTGACAAATCATGGTCCGTATATTTTTGTTATTAAACCCGTGTATGATCGTTGGGAAACTATGAAACCAAATTCTAAGATGCTTAATACCGCTGAACCGCAAATTTGTTGTACATGTTGTGCACCATTCTTGGTGACGTGAATTGTGAATTGTGAATCAGAAGTGTCATCCCGTTAAACATGTGATAAGAGTCATGAATCATGATATCTTTACTGTGTCAGAAGTGTCATCTCATTAAACATATATTGCCCAAATCTTGCATTTCATTTTGTGATGATGATATATCTGTTAAGCTAGGACCTAAATGTTACAGGTATGGTAATATATCTCATTAGGTATAGGATAGTTCTTACGGTAAAGACTAGACTCAGGTATATTGACCTGGTGATTGTGATTTTTGTGAACTAGAATCTATTGTGATCTTGTTTGGTTACTACAACCTGTTGAAAGAAAAGCTTATAAATGTTGACATGAAGTAAATCCCATGTCTTCTAATTTGAGAGCTTATTCAATAAATAATGAAATAACGATGAATTGACACTATGAAACGGATGTTATTGTTTTTTTTTAAAACAGGCTACATGATGGAATCATTATGTTGTGACTGATCAAATGATTTTGTGGTCCATACAATGTTATAACGCATACTCTAGTGTTGTTAATTACACTCTGTGAAAAGGCTATGAATAGCATTCCTACTTAGATGCAAACCTTTATTAGAAGGTTTCCTATTGGCTTTGTCTGAAAAACAAAGTTATAATAATCTTACCTCGTGTCATAGTTATTCTGATTTTTAAAGATTTTGATTGTAAATGTTCATTGATGAGAAAATACATAGTGGGAAGGCCTTTTTTATAATCACCACGTGTGCAAGGCTCTTTGAGAGTGCATATAGGCATTGGTTAACTTAGTTGTGTGTGTTTTGCCTGTTGTAATCTCTGGACATGAATCTTCTTTCAGGCATCAACTCCAACTACCTTTAACAGTTTGACATTGCTTTAGCTTGAGTATCTAAATTTGTTAAGATAATCAAATTACCATACAGAAGTTAATTCTTTCTTAAAATATCCCTTGTGAATTGTGATAGGTTTGCTAAGCAATTTGTGCAGTTTCATACTTCCTTGATTAAAGCTAGTTAAGTTTGTAGGTTCCTTTCTAAAAATTTTATGTCAATACGTGGTTTGCCCTTTTTGGAATTTTAATGAATTTTGCTTGGTTTCAGCCTGAGATTCTAGAAATGAGCATACGGATTCATTTGGGGGATGGGGGTTTATTGGGTATGCCAGTAAAAGTTATTAGTACTAATTTTACTCAAGCTTGACCAATAAGATTGTCTAATGTATAATGCATGGTGACTCTTTTTTTTTTCACCCATTGACATGATCTATGCAATGTCAAAGGTGAACTAAAGACTATTATTTGTTTATTTATATGGGACATATATTTGGCTTAGGATTTATATTACAAATTGCACCGCATAATACAGCTGGCTACCTCTTGATTGCAACAGCTGCCACTGTCGCATTGCACTGCTATTATTGATTTGCATCAAACTGCAACAAGACTATGACTACAGTTGCAGTGCAACCTATATTTAAAACTCCATGCTAGTTGTTGTCGTATGAGTATTAGATTGTTGATGAAGAATATAAATTACTAATGGAATTTATTAATAGTTTCTATATTTCTTCGTTGTGGTTGATAGTTTTTATACTTTTGAGTTGATATGTTTTTGTTATACTTTGTTGTTTCAGCACAAAAATTATTTTGTGGAACAAAAGTTAGCATTGTTAATTAATGAAAAGCGAAGGAAGAAGTTAATACTAATTGACCATTTGATATTGATTTTGACGTATGGCGAATGGACGAAAGGGTCAGGAAGCTGCAGCCAAATATTGTCACTCTCAATGCATTGGTTGATGGTATGTGTAAACATGGGAGAGTCCATAGAGCAGTTGAGTTTTTCAACGAGATGAAAGGGAAGGGCATGAAAGGGAATGCTACTTACTTATACTGCATTGATTTCTGCTTTCTGTGGTGTGAACA